TTGGAAGGTAAGAGTTGTCACACAGCTGAAGAAGACTACCTGCAAGATAGATGTTCACTGTGTCAACCGCTGAATCAATCATTCATTTATACCTTGGGAAAATGCACAGTTTGTCAAAAGAAATTGAAATTCTTGCAGACCTGGAAGGACTTAAATAGCTAAAGTCATCAGTTGTTCGAGACAAGAAATTTCGAGTGCTGTTGAGCCACAAAAAATGTGAAAGGCTATATCAAAAAGGCAAATCTCAAACCAAAGAACATGACAAGTTTTGCCAGCGATGCATCATCTGTGATGGTTGGGAAGCAAACAGCAGCGGTCACACATCATAATAAAAACAATCCTGTAAGAAGGATGTTCACTGTCTCAACCACCGAATCATTCATTATTTCATGAACTTTTGATGTGTCTCTTTGAGTATTACCATTGCAACCAGTTCGATCAACAACCTTGAGCAAATGCAAAATGTGACAAAAGAAAATATAAGCTCTGAATCAAGTGATGCCATGCCAGTCACGTAGGCAGTGCATACCTTGAAGATTCGACAATGCGCACTTTTCATGGAGATGCTGAGCTTTGTTAAAAGTGCATGTTCTTTCATTATGTTCTTAGCTATAATTTAAGTTTACTGGTAGCTAGAGAGCATTATACCAAATCAATAATACAACATTCCATGACTGATGCAATCTATATGGTTATATGTTATGTTTATGTGTTGTAATATTGAATAACTATTTTCTAAACAATTATTATAATACTACAATTATATATAATATTATAGTGTGACTTCATTGTTGGCGGGGCGGTGGGGTAGCCTAGTGGTTAAAGCACTCGCTCGTCACGCCGAAGACCCGGGTTCGACTCCCAATGGGTACAATATGTGAAGCCGATTTCTGGTGTCCCCAGCTGTGATATTGTTGGAATATTGCTAAAAGCGGCGTAAAACCATGCTCACTCATTCATTATTGGCAATATCCAAAAGGCTAATATATATATATGTACATGTATTAGCATGTATTGTCGGAACTGGCAGACCAATTCAATTGGATGCAGACCAAATTCTCCTTGAGTGGAATTAAATGAAGGAAGTCTCCTCTGAAGATGTAGACAATATCTCATCTTCAGGCATTCTCAAACACTGACAAGCCTCAAGCCACATCTGGATATGCTGTGTCAATGCAGAAACTGCTAAGTGTCCAATACGACCATCATCCTCTCTGCATCAGGGGTAAGTTAGGTGTTATCAAATGTGCAGCCGGTGGTTACAGACCGCAGAAACAGACAAAGTGAGACGAAATACAAATTATATTAGATGAAGAGGTTGATGCCTCAGCTGACTGAAACAATGTGTTCCCAAGATGGGGATTTTTCAACTCTTTATAAGATGGTATCAGGGATATTTGAGAACAGAATCATTAATTAGATTAAACAGCTTACTTCCAGAGGAAGAATGAGGACAATATTTATAGATACATAACTTCTTTGTTTTGGTGACGTCACCACTTGCTTGACAACGACATTAGAATCTATGTCGAAACATCGCCTGTACAGAATTTAGAAGCTGAATATCCACAAAAAATTCCTCATTCTTCATCTCCTCAACTTCTAGAATGCCAATCAAAAACGTTTCTTCCAGAGCAACTGACTTCGGGTCGGTGTCCCAAATATGGTTGGATTATTGCTGAAACAAAACTCACTCACTTAAGTCACTTGACTCACTCATCAACTAAAAGAGGGGTCACTGGTATTATATATGTGAAACAAACTTCCGTATAATGATGTGTATATTGTGTATAATGATGATTTGGAGATATAACATGAAAAGCGCTATAATGTCATTTTCATCAAAATGGCGATATTGACCATGGAACAATATTGAGCGATGTTCATCTTGATTTCAATGTTATAATATGCAAAGTTCCTCATCCCCAGACCATCAACCAAATTCAACACAATACGACTTTCATCGCCTGTGCAATCCACTCTGTTCACGAATCTCTTCGGTGTAATATAGCGATAATCACATCGCGACATGTCGAACCAGCTACAGCTCAGTTATTTCAACCCGTCTGCTAATCCACTACATGTATACAGGGAGCATAGTTCTAATAGTAGTACAATTTTAAGTAACGTGACGCTCCACGTCTAGTCTCTGAACACATTTTACCGAAAACATGGTTCCTGAATTATATTTCACAAAATATGATTAAAAGGAGCACAGTGACTTTCGTCACTTCCGGAAACTGTGGTAATCTAGACCTGCCACATTTGGTGTATGGGGATATGTTTGTTTCAGGATCTGTAAAACACTAATGCCCATATAGCATAACATACAAACTGCATTAGCCCATACAGAACAATCATTTACCATCACACACCAGTTACCTACCTTTGCGAATATTTACAAAATTGTCTTGTAAATCTCATCTCAAATTGTAAGTGACTTGTAAGTCTCATCTTTATAAGACATTTACAAGCTTGTAAATCTAGACTTATTTTGCATGTTTGTAATTGTTTGCATATCCAGTCTGAAATGAATAGGCTTCCATCTGTAAAAGGCCTCTTTGTACCAATCAAGACCTAGACAAACTTATTCAATGAATAGTGAAGGTAGGAACACAAAGCGTGACGAGCCACGCGGCTGGTAACTGAGTGCACAGTCGTTGCCAGTGCATTTCCACAGAATGCATTATGTTTACGTGTACCATAAGTGAGAATACTGCCAAAGCCGTTACACATCGTCGAACTTGTGAGTGTAACTAACATAATAATCACAATAATATACTCAGCAGCAAAGAAAAACGTCAGTACGAATTCAAAATTGTATAGGCACTGTAATCAAATCATTAGAAATGGACATAATAAGCGGGTCGACCGCCACGAGCCACGAGCGGCAATAACTGAAGCACAGCGTCTATGCATGGAGGGAACCAATCGATTGATGAAGGCCATTGGCACCTGGAACCACACTCTGAGAAAGGCCTGGCGCAATAAATCAGCTGTGTTCGGCCTTGGTATGACATAATTCAGTCTCCTCTGAATTTCATCCCAAATATGTTCAATTGGGTTTAAATCAGGACTAAGATCGGGCCACTGCATAATGTTGACACCGTTCTGCTGGAGGAAGTCCCGTGTAGCTCTAGCAGGATGGGCCCAGGCGTTATCATGTTGGAAAATGTTGTTCCGGTGACGTGCGAAATGTGGTATGACGTGGGGTCTGAGAGCTTGGTCGATGTAGCGCACCGCTGTGATGCCGCCTCCTCTCCCTGGTCCAAGGTTCTGGAACACCACAGGACCAACTCTCTGGTTCAGGCCTATTCCACCCCATACCATGATGCTTGCACCTCCCCATGAGTCTCTTTCCATAACACATTGGTCTGAGTAACACTGGCCACGTCGTCGCCATATTCTTGTTCTGCCATCTGCACTTGATACGCAGTACCGACTCTCATCTGTTAACAGAACAGTTCTCCATTGCCTGTATCGCCAGTTTTGCTGTTGTTGGGCAAACTGTAGACGTTCACGCCGATGACGAAGGGTGAGGATAGGTCCACGGTAAGGTCTACGGCAATGGAGGTTCCCGCTGTTAAGACGTCGGCGTACTGTATCAGTACTGATTGGTCTTCCGTGTGTTCCCACAGTCTGGCGTGCTGTTTCGGATGCCTACATGAAGGGATTCTGTACATGCTGTCGCACAACATGGCGGTCTTGTCGTCTTGTGGTCACCCTTGGTCTGCCAGAACGGGGGCGATCATTTGTGGTGTTGGTGGTCCAAAAACGTTGCTGCAGCCTGTAGATGGTCCGAACGTTGACCTGGAAGTGATTGGCAACGGCTTGCGCAGTGTGGCCAGCTTCAACTCTGCCTTGCGCCTGGTTCCTCTGAGCTGTCGTGAGTCGCAGCATCCTGCTGACGTTGTAATGTGAATGTTTCAACCAGGTTTGGGGTGATTTTTACAGGACTGGTCCTTGTGAACAGCACGTGCAGCATGAGTTGCATGAAAAACATGGAGAACACCGTACCATCTCCGAGATCAGGTTGCGTTTTTGAGACCATTTCCTGGGTTCCATTCTGAGTTTGGGAAGGAAGGTCTTTGCTCAGGTAAAGTTGGAAATGTTGTCAAAAATATACAATCAAAACATTGCATGAGTTTACAGTTATCAGTTTCTGGGAAGGAAAAGTCCAAACTGACGTTTCTTTTGCTGCTTAGTATACATTTTATAACTGCTCCATTCAATGTTGAACTTGGTAGATATAAAAATGTACCACTTAATGAAAGAAAGTTTTAATTGTCCGAATTCTATACAGTGCTGAGCGTTTTAACCTTTTACAAATGTGACATGTTATATGCCCGGATTTGTACACTCTATGTTATGCTCAAAAAACTTCGTTTATTTATCAAACTATGCAATATGTACTTAAGCTGCCAAAACCTGCCATTCTATCTTAAGAAAGAGAACAGCTTTATACAATTCATGATTTGTGTTTAAACTTCATTCTAGTTTAAATCTATTGTACGGTTTAACTTCTAAAGTCTCTCGTAATTCCGTACGGAATGGCCCTATATAACATATTTTAATGAACTATATCTATTTATGTGTTTAGTTACTGTGTGAGGGGTGAGACACAAATAAACAATCTATCTTTTTAGATGCGGCATTAGCAGGGTGGAAGGAATTTTATAGGGGTGACTATTGAGGGGGAAACAACTATTGCGATAGCGATAGTCTATTGCAACGTACTATGGCGATAGCGATAGTCTATTGCAACATACTATTGCGATAGCGATAGTCTATTGCGACCAACTATTGCAATACTATTGCAATAGTTGTTTCTCCTTGAATTGTCTGATTTGAGGTCATTTCCCAGTTTATATGAAATAAAAACACAAGCTGAAGTAGTTTCAGTCTCTTTTCATAACTGACAAGAAACTTGAAACCCAGCTCAAGTTTGTTTTAAGAGGTAACAGGGCCGGATAACTCTAAATCAAAGTGAACGAATCAGGAACTTCCTTTATTTTGCGTTTTTGCATTTATCACCAGAAGTCATTACTAAACTATTGATAGTCACACATACTGTCGATGCATCGATAGTTTCTTCCGTCGATTAATTGCTATCGGAGACTCAACAATTGCAATTCATGTTCCATGCGTCTTTACAGCACTAGAATTTTATTAGCTGAATGACCTTGGACACCGGCGTCAGAGGGATTATTCTGTGAAATATTTGTGTGGCAGGTGGATCTGCCTTGCGTCTCACACGTTGTGTGAACAGGTACAGTTGTAACGTTGTAACACGACCAAACGCCATGACGTCATGATATCTATACAACATGCCCACCGAGAAGCAGCTGGCCACAGCTAATCATTCATCTAGATTATTAATGAGTCAATGATCATACGTTTTGCTATATACAAATATTCTTGGTACAACTTTTGGCACAAATGGGTCAATGAAACCATTTTCACACGTGCAAGACTTTATCATTCAACAGTAACCAGTAGATTTTGGCATCAAAGCGTAATTCAGAGAAAATACTTTGTACATTACGAGCAGCAAAGGTTGTTGCGAACACGCTCCGTCCGGTTGGGTTGGTAGGTTTGCTATTTATTATTCATATCGCCCCTGCTGCGTGGGACTTCGCTAATAGAAAGTAGAAAAGTTGGTCTGTCCTTGGCTCGACAATGTTCAAACAAACAAACAAACAAACTGGATGTCGAACCCTACCTTGCTTTCGTCCCTTCTCCTTAAGTACTGATCACCCTGCCAAAACAGCTACTTGGAATGGAGTAGTGAATAAGATCAGACATAGCTCATTTCACAATTATACACTGCATGAGGAAACTTGAAAACGTATTGTCATTCCAAACTTTTATAAAAATTCTTCACTACCGTAATATTATTTAAGAGCTCCCATATGTGGGTATTTTCTAAACAACCGACGTGATTAATAGGCACATTAAATATGACTTAATGAAAGCCTAACAATTGCTGCCACAGTTTTAAACTTAAGGCAACTTCTTTATTATTTGTGTGTTTGATTCTCCATCATAAGAGATAAATATTTCAATGTAAAAACAATGAAGCATCTTTTTACAAATGTTAATTTACAAAGGGGGTTAAAGTACTGTAAAATTATTGTCCTCCTGAGAGGGTACGTAAGTCCCACACCTTTCAAAGTAAAATGGAAATTTACCATATTGTAAACGTAGTATCTTTGTTCTTTTAACTGCCGGCTAAATGTTCCTACAATCGCCAGCGGATGAAGGGATGGTGTAAATCCAACTAGGGTCCATGCAGGTAGCAAAAGTAATGTAAGTCCCCATGTTCCTAGTATGGTGATCTACCTTCAGTTGTTGGCGATCTATAGCCCGTGTTTTATACTGTAGTGTCCTCTTTAATTGAAATGTCTGTGATTCTCTAGTATTTTTACTGTCCATCGTCGACAGGATTTAATCTTCAAAATGTTTCCACTTTTTATTGTATGGATTGTTTTCGTCACGATATGGCTGAGATATTGCCGATGTGACGTTAAATATTAACTCAATCACTTTTTATTATTTGAGTCAGTCAGTATTTAGGAATACAACAATCCATACATATGATGCATATGCAATCGTTACGCATCTGGGATTCCTACGCAAGACCAACGAAGCAAGCAAGTTACCGACCTTACTGTTTATAGCGTTGTACATGTCCGCTTGACGTTAAACATGTTTAACAATCAGACAGAACAAACAGAAACATGAATTTCATTAACCTATTCAGACAATGACCTACTTTTCAGCCGATCCGAATTTTCTCGTGTAAAAGTGAAAAGAGACACTACAAACAACTATGGTTACACTAAATTCTAATTCCTTGTTTCACGAGAAAATGGCATTTACAAGTTGGTTTCAATTTTAAAGTATAAATAAATCGTATTTCTATATTTTATGTCGATGTTTAGGCAGCATGTCGTTAACTAAGGCGTCACAGACTGCCCCTGTTTGAAGAGGTCGTACAATGATTGACAATTCATCTGGCTCATTGGTTACACCTGTTATGTGTGGATTTTTGCGCTTATTAATTGTATTTTGTAACTTACAATGTGATTGATATAATATCAAGTCCGTACCAGACCGCCAAACCTTTCTAGCGGCAGAGCCTCGTTCTGAGATTTCCACGATTTCCAGATTTTCGTTTGTCAGAGCACGCTGTGCGACAGAGAACGCTGCACGACGCAAGGATAAGAAGGGGCGTAGTGTTGCAATATACAAGTGATTAGATGTATCAAATAATACTGATTAATATTTATATATCTAGTTGTAAGAGTAGGTTTCAAAATTCTGTACTGGTTATTGCACTAAGTTGCGCAATAGGACGGAACCCAGTCAGCAAGAAACGAGACTGTTGTTTAATCAATGTTTTGACTTGAATGGAGCGGTGAAAGAGTGAGTAGTTGTAGTAACTTCTTTCACCAACCAAAGCTTGTCCTAAGAGGTGTTGTGTGGTCATGGCTCGCTGACTTGGTTGACATGTGTCATCATATTCCAGTTGCGTTGATCAATCACTGGTTGTCTGGTCAAGGCTTGATTATTAATAGACCGCCGCCATATTGATGGAATGTTGTTGACATAGAACCAACAAACAAACCGTGCTATTCAACTGCTTAGTTACATACCATTATCGATCTTCCATATAGCTGAAATATTGCTGAGTGCGGCGTAAAACTAAACTCACTCACTCACAAGTCAAAACATTGATTACTCAACAGGCTCGCTTCTTGCTGACTGGGTCCCGTCCTATTGCGAAACTTAGTACAATAACCAGTCCAGAAGTTTTGAGACCAACTCATTCAACTGAATACATAATTATTAATCAGTATTATTTGATACATCTAGGCACTTGTATATTGCAACACTACGCTCCTTCCAATCCTTGCAAACACTGACAGCGAGCTCTGACAAACAGAAACCTGGAAATCGTGGAAATCTCAAAACGAGGCTCTTCCGCTTGAAAGGGTTGGCGGTCTGGTACGGACTTGATATTATATCAATCACATTGTGTGTTACAGAACTACACCGAATAAGCGCACAGAACACATAACAGGTGTAACCAGTGAGCCAGATGGATTAATATTTTGAATCATTTTACGACCTCATCAAACAGGGGCAGTCTGTGACGTTTAGTTAAGGTCATGCTGCCTACACCTCACCATACAATATAGAAATACGATTTTATTAAAGTTTAAAATCAAAATTCATTTGTAAATACCATTTTCTTATGAAACAAGGAATTGGAATTCAGTGTAACCATGTTTGTGATGTCTATTTTCACGTTCACATGAGAAAATTAATTCGGATCGGCTGAAAAGTAGGTCATTGTCTGAATAGGCTAATGAGACTCATGTTTCGGTTTGTTAAACATACATCAGAGGACAGGACATAACACGCACCACTGCACCTGCGGATGTTTACGTAGCACTCGCTGTCCTTATTGTTTATTAAAAAACATGACTAACATGCATGTATTACCATAAAAAATAACAAAATTCAATGTCATTAAGTTAACGTTTTCTTCAAATCTACAAAACAGCCGCACTGCAATACGATCACTGCTGTGAGCAAATGACACAAATATAAGAAATAAATTAAATATGTTAAAAATAAAATGTAAAACATTACACTAAATATTTGTACATAAAAGGCATTAATCTGCCATAACCCTTTATGCAATCATGGAAGGATTTCTGTATATTCTTGGTATACTAAGTATTTAACACAAGTTGAATAAATATGATGTGGATTTTTCATAGGATTTTCACGACCCATCACAATGTCAGAATTCTGTCACAACACTTGATGTGTCCCACTATCCCACATGAGTGAGTAAGTTTAGTTTTACGCCGCTTTTAGCAATATTCCAGTAATATCACAGCGGGGAACACCAGAAATGGGCTTCACACATTGTACACTTGTGAGGAATCGAATCCTGGTCTTCGGCGTAACCGTGACGAGGGAACTCTTTAACCACTCGAGTTCGATTCCCCACATGAGTACAATGTGTGAAGCACATTTCCGCCGTGATATTACTCGAATATTTGCTAACAGCGATGTCAAACCGGACTCACTCACTAATATCGACCTGCTATGCAATGTTTGGTTCAGTTCTAGAGGGGAGTTGTGCCACAAAATGTCAAACATATTACTACTACAGACTGTAACATGGTAAACCATTCCAGCATGGTTGACCCCTACCACTTGTGCACACACTTAGGGAAATATTCATGTCAAGATAATCCAAAATGAAACACAAATCAAAAATATTTGATCGAAGTCTAATAAACAGTATGCAAAACACGATCACATATTATGTAAAAATATATACATACAAGCGAGTCCGGTAATTCTGCGCAGCTGCAATAGCGTACTTCCGTATCGAAGGTAAACATCGTCTGCTACCACATTTACGCTTGAAATCGGGACATTTCTACAAGGGACTGGCTTTTAATCACTAAAGGTAAATAAATAACAGTAATTGACAGATAAATTGACAGTTTATGAAAAATCGTTTTCTTCAGGCTTTTAAACATTTTTCTTCATTATTCATAATTTGATTTAATATGAAACACTCTTCCTCACATTGATGAAGTGATTTTTGAAAATAATCTGGCCCTAATACGCTTCCATACTTTGGATCTCCAACTGGATGTTATGCGCATCAGTTGCTGCGCAGAATTACCGGACAGCAAGCGATGTCGTCAGAACGCCGGCAAGGTCAACCGTATGGCATAATGCAACGTTAAAATCTTATAGTCGTCAATAAAACTTATATTTCTAGGTAAATATGATGCATACCAGCATGTTAAGTCACGTACACCCCCAAAAATAAGAGACGTTAGTTGCCGTGTTGCGATCGATGTGCTTAGGTGCGCGGAATTACCGGTCGCATTGTATATCTCTCATCCAATCTGCTGTAGCAACATTGATTAAAAATACATTCATACATGTACATATAAACGAATTCTTTGGTATCGATTTCAATAAGCAGTATGGAATTAATAATAACAATACCTGTAACGGAAACGTGATATAACATGTGCTTTAGGCCGTGTAACACATTAATTTATTATTGTGTCTAATTAAGCACAACACATATAATATGGTACGGAAATAGTGAATCCGACGTTAAACAACCAACCAACCATCCAACCAATCCAGATCGTTGGTGGTCACAACATCTAAGCTCATACTCACTACCGGTTGTATTGTGTTCCAGTTTGTTCATTGTTATCAAACAACTGACTGTAGAAGCTCGTCTTCCTACCACATTTGCATATCTGAAGTTGTTTCCGAGTATCACCAATATATTGTAAGAGAATATGGTTCGAGAATCGTCCCCTCACAATTGCAGTGTAATCAAACTTGAACGCCATGATAGTTCAGAGCACCAACTGCTTGTCATAAAATGGAGTGTTGGTCGTATTGGTTGCAGTATATGACACCATGGCTGACATGAATCGATGACTGGGGAGCGACAGGTCGTCGACGTGGGGTGAAGATGTCGGAAGAGAAGCAACAGCGGTTATTTCATTTGACAGCAGTATGCTGCTAAATGCCTTCCATTGGGCAACAGATGCACTTGTGGTTATGAAACTTTCAGAATACTGCTTATTCCTGTGTCCAGAGGCAGATATGCTTTGTTGGGCGTGACGCCATTGTGGCTCCTGCGGCATGTTGGTTGGTTTGTTGTTTAACGCCGCAATAAGCAATATTCCAGGCATCTGTCTGTAAATATTCGAGTCTGGAAATCATGACCATCGATCTATGCATTTTCGCTACGAAGACACGGGATCGGGCGATCAGGCTCGCTGGCTTGGTTGACACATGTCATCGGTTTCCAATTGCGCAGATCGATACTCATGCTGTTGATCACTGGATTGTCTGGTCCAGACTGGATTATTTACTGACCGCCGCCACATAGCTGGAATATTGCTGAGTGTGGCGTAAAACTAAACTCACTCACTCACTCACTCACTAGCTAAGAAGACACGTGTTAACCAAGAAGCGAGCTATGTGAAGGCACATGGAAGATACAGAAATGATACTTCAGTTTGACAGACCAAAACATAAATGAAATGGATGTGAGCAACACGTAAAAACATGGGTTTGTTCGTTCGAAATGAAATATGAGCCTTGTTTATCACATTTCGATAAACGTAACTGATCACCCTGAAAGAATGGCGTGCAACAAATCCAACCTCTTAGAAGGATGACAGGATGGGAAAGAATTGTCCATTCGAACAGGTTCTGAAGCATCTGAAAATAGGGCTAAAATAGGCGTGTATCACTGGTTTGTCCAAACTTGTTTATTTCCAATCCATCGTAAAATTGCTGTGTGACGTTAAGCAAGAAATCATGAGAACATATTGGCTTCGAGATATTGGCCACTCCCTTGTTTGATTAGAGAACAGTGGCCAATCAATAGAAAACATGGGAAAGACTGTCCCCATGCATACAGTGACGGAAATCATGCATACAGTGACGGAAATCAAAATATAAATCAAGGAATTTGTCACAAGTTTTGAAACAAACGCACTAAACCAACGTGTCATTTGAAACACATATACAACCCATCAAAAGTTTAGACTCACTTAAAACACTCACTATATGTCATGAATATATGTGGTTACATCGAAGATGCATTTCTCCACTAACATGGGGGAACCAACTGCAAAATTTATGCTGATGAATTGCACGAGTATCATGCATCAAATTGCTGAAAACCATGTGCAAATAGCGCGCTTTTGAACCGCTGCGTTTTGGTGTAAAGTTCTATTGAGAATTCGCCAATTTTTACTGAGTTTCATCATTTATTGAACTCATGACAGTAAACTTTTCAACGTTACGAATTCGTTTTACAATACATCAGTTCATGTGTAAATAGTACCTTTAAACAGTATGGAATATTTTGCAAAATCTAGTTTAGCCCATTTGTCTGAAGTAATTGGCTACATTTACACTAGTGAGTCTAAACTTTTGATGGGGAGTATAGAAAAAACGCAAACGACCGCCGCGTTACGGTGATGGAAATAATCTATACAATACTGAGATATATTTCCGAAGTTTTAAATGAGGTTAGAAACTAGAATATGTTGGGTGGTTTTCAACCATTTTTCAATGAAAAACTGCTAATATGTAGAACACTTTGAAACGATATCCCTTAGTACATGTCAAGACCCTGACCCAGAAAGCAAATAATTGTGAACACCGTATTTCCAGCGTACACGTCATAATGCCACTCTGTATAACGCTAGCAGCTGAAATAAATCGAACAGATTGAAAATTCTGCCTTCACATACAAATACGTTACTTCGCACGCCAGTTCAACGTAGAATGATGGATGGCCTGTAAGTATTTTGATAATCGACCGGTCTGAAATTGCGTTCTGGAAATGATGAATGCATGTTTTGTTCAGTATTCGACATTTCAAAGGTTTATATGTGGGTAACCACTTCCTGATGGTTAGATGTGGAATTTAAGGGAGTAAAGGTCAGGGTTAGAGACTGCCATTCCTTCACAGATTTCACTCGGTGAATTTTTAATGAACTACAAAAGAAATGTTTGATGCGAGACATTAATACTTACCCCCACTGTGTTGCAAAACGAATCAACCTCCTGAACGTTTTTTCATATGCTCTACTTATACGCATCGGAATATCTGTAATGTAATTACACATTCTGTAACTTGATTTGATTTCTACGGAAGCGTAGTAGGGCCACTGTGAAATTTTTTGGTCTTACTATCTCCTACGTAGTACTTAATATCTCCTACGTAGGACTTAATATCTCCTACGTAGGACTTAGTATCTCCTGTACTTAGTATCTCCAACGGGACTTAATATCTCCTACGTAGGACTTAGTATCTCCTACGTAGGACTTAATATCTCCTACGTAGGACTTAGTATCTTCTACGTAGAACTTAGTATCTCCTACGTAGGACTTAGTATCTCCTACGTAGGACTTAATATCTCCTACGTAGGACTTACTATCTCCTTACGTAGGACTTACTATCTCCTACGTAGGACACGTAGTATCTCCTACGTAGGACTTAGTATCTCCTACGTAGGACACGTAGTATCTCCTACGTAGGACTTAGTATCTCCTACGTAGGACATATTATCTCCTACGTAGGACTTACTATCTCCTATGTATAGTAGGACTTAGTATCTCCTACGTAGGACTTACAGTCATTCATTTCATTCACTATTAGAGTCTACAGTTATGTGTTTCATTTACTGTTAGAGTCTACTATCGTGTGTTTCAATTTACTATTAGAGTCTACTGTTTCCTTCACTATTAGAGTCATGTGTTCAACTAAGTGTTGCACATTACTGTGTTGGACCGACTGTTATAGTTTACCGCCTTGCGTTCAGTTTACTATTACGCGTTGCAGTTAGTTCACTGTTATATGTTGCACTTTGTTAGACTTTACTATTATGCGTTGGATATTTCAGAGGTCGTTGCACATGAATCATAATCTGCGTGTACAGACGTGTCTTAGACTATCGGTGGCAATCTATGTGTACGTATCCCCTTATATTTATACAAATAAATTTAATGACAATTCATTGTCTTTTTGAATTTCGTATTGTTTTGCGCCGCACTCAACACTTGTGCACCCCAGTCAAGTCAACCTGTAAACAATTACGGAAAAAGCCGCAAACGAGCGTTGCATCCGATCCAACCTAGCCCCATCAAGACAAGCAACAACTTGCGGAGGTCGTGTTATAACCCGAGTTTCATATCACAACCTCACCCCAACCATCCCACCCACCTCTCTGTCTGTCTGTGTGTGTGTGTGTGTGTGTGTGTGTGTGTGTGTGAATAGATGTATGTATGATAGATTAAACATAACCATACCCAAACCTCCATAACTGCAATTAGAACAGGGTCCACGTCACCCTAACGTAATACACACACAATAACACTGTATAGTAACACTGCGTTAGTGTCATGAATATTCACTGACTCACATTTCAACTATCTAACGTCCTGCATAGCCAAACATTTCTCAACTTAATAACCATCCTTAAAAAGGATATGTTAAGTACTACGTAGGAGATAGTATGCACTACGTAGGAGATACTAAGTCCTACGTAGGAGATACTAAGTCCTACGTAGGAGATACTAAGTCCTACGTAGGAGATAGTATGTCCTACGTAGGAGATACTTAGTCCTACATAGGAGATAGTAAGTCCTACGTAGGAGATAGTATGCCCTACGTAGGAGATACTAAGTCCTACGTAGGAGATAGTATGTCCTACGTAGGAGATACTTAGTCCTACGTAGGAGATACTAAGTCCTACGTAGGAGATACTAAGTCCTACGTAGGAGATACTTAGTCCTACGTAGGAGATACTAAGTCCTACGTAGGAGATAGTATGTCCTACGTAGGAGATATTAAGTCCTACGTAGGTGATAGTGACCCCCAAAAAAGTTTCGATCACTTGATTGTTTAGTTATTTTACAGGCCATCGTAATCATGGCATGAGTCTCCATGTAAGGCGTCAGGCAAAAACTACTTTCAGTTGTAGGCATTTTATGATGGGCGGGTGTAACCGGTTGGTCAGGACATATTTACCCTTTTCTCGAACACCTGGTGTTTTTCACTAATTTTCAGTAACTCAGTCATGCAAGGTTCCATTTAAGCTGTGTATCTCTTTACACGGAAAATAATTTCCTTCTCAGGATAGTTAAGTCTGGGTATTCTGTTCCATTGACTTTTTTATTTTAGAGGTGAGGCGAGGTGAAATTGGGTTTAACGTCGTGCTTGAGAATATTTCGCTCATATGACGACGTGCATGCGTGTGTATGTGTACGTGCGGCTGCTTGTACTAGCCCAGGCTTAAGCTAGTTTTTTTTTTTATAGTACTAGTGCTAGCTCACTGAGATACCATGCCGCAGTGAAGCATGAATACCCCACTCAGACACATTATACTGACTCCGAGCCGACCAGTCCTTGTTGTACCCCTTAATGACGAGCGCCAGGCAGGGACAAACAAGTACCATATTATATCGTCTTTTGGTATGACGCGGTGGGGGATCGAACCCGCGACCTTCCGCTCTCCGGGCTGACGCTTTTTTATTTCAGATGTAATACATAGCGCATTTGATGTCGGTGAGCACAGCTACATACGTAAGAATGCCAAACTTTGGAAACAGTGTCAGGATCTAACAGTAAAACGCAATTAAATGTTTTAAGTGTTGAATTAGAAGTGTTGCTATAGCATCTTTTCCCACCACTACAGTATGACAAATATTCGGAGGAATTGCTAGTTTCCATTTTGGTAAACCC